TCAAGGCCAGGCACTCTGCCAACCACCCCATCCACGGATTGGGGAAATTAACGCCGCCTACCCTAGTGGGGGAGCCCTGGGTGGTGCAGACAGCAACATGGAGGGTTGAGTCTACCCAGAGGCACATCCGAAGAAAGGTCTGGCTATCGACTTTTGTAAAATCAGCCATTGACAACCCTATGGCGCGCAGTTCTACTCTGATACACAAGGGGGCGCCAGGAGGCAGCGTCGACTCCATGGCAACCGGTTATTTGCTTCTCTCCTTGGCCTTTACCCGGCAGCACTTTCCTCTTTCCTTCTCCCACGTGCAGGGAAAGAGAGCTGCTTCGAGCGCATAATGCAGAGATTCGGTCGGAAAGCCGTCTACATCGTAATCGGCGACGGTGTGGAGGAGGAGCAGGGAGCCAAGAAGGTACTTCCTAATGTCTGTGCCCCTTTGGGAGCCGGCCTCGTGATTGTCTGAAGCCCTGTTCTCCGCCACTGGGTCCTCTCTTTCCCTGGCCCTTTGCTGGCGGGTTCCCTTCCCGTTTGCAAACCGCAGAAGCACAATTTCCTTCCGCAAATCCAGCCCCAGGCCTCTGGCCGCTGTGCCCCGGCTCGTTTTGGGAGCGTCTTCTCCGAGCCCAGGGGCGCTCCTCAGGGCGGGTGGGGGCACGTGTGTGTTTTATTTAATCTTTGCTGATCACATGTTCCAGGAACCTTTCCCAGTTAATAAAGACAGCATTAAGCTAATGAAAAAGAAAATCCCGCATCTGTGATGCCGGGCCCGTGAGGAGAGGGCCCGGGGCTCTGGGGGCCCAGCTCTGTGGTTGGAAAAGAAACAGCTGCCGAGGTCCTCGGGTCTGGGTCTGTCATCAGCGGCCCAGAGACCCTGCCACCCCCACCCAGGGGCCTGGGAAGTAGATTGTTAATGTCACAGAGCTTCATTTGGGAGACCTGGTTCCCCCCTTCCCTACTCGGCAACAAATCCCAAGGAAATGCAGAAATGCTAAAAGTGTCGGCTTATGAAAACCCACAAGAAGAGGGGAGGCCTGAGCGCCCTCAGAAGGGGGCTCGTCCAGGGAAGGGGAGGGCCTCTGCGTGTTCTGTTCCTCCAGGCCCCTCCCCACCGGGCTCCTAGAGCTTGCTCACTTTGAAGGAGCTGTAACCAGCTCGGGGCCTGCCCGAGCCTCCCGGAGCTGCCCCTGTTGTTTCTTCAGCCCGTTGTCCACTCTCGTCCTAAAAGTGTTCTCTGGTCCGTGCTTATTCACGGCCCGCCCAGCTAGTGTGTCAGTCGGTTAGCTGAGCGCCTGCTGTGGGCCTGGCACTGTCCTAGGCACTGGGGATTCTGTGAACATGATAGGCCCTGCCCTCTCAGGGAACACGCTGGTGCACAGGCAATAAACAC